TCAAGCATCAGTACTAACTTGGGTAAAAGAATGGATAACTCTTAGAAATAAAAGGTTGTTTACTTGGAAGGACATGACTTACAACTCAGTTGGCATGCTTTCTTATGGTATGGGGAAAATAAAATTCATAAATATTTTCAAAACCACTATATTAGAAATGCATTATTATTAACATGAAAAAAAATAAAATGTAAAATTTCAGAATGGCGCTCAACAATGGAAGCATTTGTACATCCAAATTTAGTCAGTCTTGAGAAAATATGGACACACAAAGATATTCTAAACTCTGAAGGGAATTTAAAATCTAAACAAGAGATGGAAAATCAGGATATTGATCTATCACGGTGGGCCTATTTACAAATGCAAGTGAGATATGGCAAAGATGTTAAACGGTACGGATTTTATAAAGAGCAGACCTTGTTTGATCAGACATTATTAACCTCTGATGAGAAATTAATTAAGAAAATGTATAACTTTTTATTGAATTTGAAAATGGAAAATGAATAAGTAAAAGAAACAATAATAACATGGGCAAAGAATTTTGGATGCAATATAGACTTAGAGAAATGGCAAAACGTATGGGAAAGAAATTATAAATTGACGATGTCAACTTCTTACAAAGAAAACTTATATAAAATGTTTTATAGATGGCACTTGCCACCAACAAGACTAGCAAAAATGTTTAAAAATATGTCAGATATGTTGGAAATATAATCACAAGTCAGGTACTTATTATCATGTATGGTGGACATGTGTTAAAGCAAAGAGATATTGGACAAAAATACATACTTGGTTAGAAAAGATGTTGGGAAAACATAGAGATTTTAAACTTGAACTTTTTTTATTAGGTATAATGCCAGAAAAGCTTGACAAACAAAGTATATACTTGATTTTACATGTGATAACAGTGGCAAGAATCATATTCACGCAATATTGGAAAAATGAAGAAATACCACCAGAGGAAGAAATAATAATTTTAAAAATGCTAGATTGTGCGGAAATGGACAGATTTACTCTGAGATTGTAAGAAAAAGAAGAAACAGAATAATTTCAAACTTGGGACTTATTTTATCAATGGCTGGAGAAAAGAATAAGGGATTAGGAATTCAGTTTGCATTAGTGAATGATAAACTCAAGACAACACGTTTGTTGAATAAGTACTTTTGAATTGTATTAAAAAATCAATACAAACTTTTTTTTTTTAAAAAAAAGAACTAACAGCCTTAGAATTGGCAATGAAAATATCAAAGTGATGTATTGCTTCAGATTTTAGACTTTATTGTTAGCATTTTAAAAGGTGGTATTAGCACCTTAAATGTGGCAGAGTAGGCCATTTCTTTGGTATGTGAGAACTTGATTTTTCAGCAGCTACACAATTGAGAGCATGTTCTGGAAGTCCTTGAATACACTTGCAAGCTTTAAGAAAGATGCAAACCCAGCTGGGAAAGAGTAATGTAAACCATAAATTTGCTAACAATGGAACGTCTTCCAGATTCAGTGCTTTCTATTATTCAAGACTCACATGTAATCAATGTCTTTTATTGGTCACTTGCTCTCTGAGGTACCAAATGTATCTATTACCGTATTTGTTTCTATACCCTAAAAAAAGACTTGCCGCCACCACCATCCCATAATAAATGATTAATTCATATTTTCAGGTGGGCAAAGAAGCACCTTTACAAAGGTAAAAAGTCTCTCTCTCTCAAATTCAGGGATCAAATTCTTATCAGTTCCACACCAAACTCAAGAGTACCTGAGTTTGGAGACAACAGTGGATAGCTTCTCCCTTTTAGGATTAAACATCAGCAAAGGAACAAGCAGTCAAGAAATACATTGGAGATTAATATTTGGTAGAGAAGCCATGAAGCTTTAGAAAAGACATTCAGATGCCGTGATATGTCCATACCTACAGGTTTTAAAATTGTGTAAAATGTGATTTTCCCTTTGACACTCTATGGAAATGAAAGTTGGATTTTGAAGCAGGATAGGAAGAGAGCCAGTTTGGTGTAGTTCTTAAGATGCTGGCCTAGAAACCAGGAGACTATGAGTTTGTGACTTGCCTTAGGCATGAAAGCTGGCTGGATGATATTGGGCCAGTCAGTTCCTTTCAGTCTAACTCACCTTAGAAGGTTGCTATGGGAAAATAGGAGAAAGGAATATTATACAGGCACTCCTCGACTTACCACAATTAAACCCAAAATTTTTGTTGTTAAGTGAGCTTTGCCTCCTTTTATGACCTTTCTTGCCACAGCTGTGTCGAAGGAAAAGTCTTCTTCAGGTCCAGTCCAAGCCGGGAATAAACAACATGTCGACTGCTTTAGAAAGAAGGTTGTAGTTTATTGAAGAGAAGAGCCAGACAGAAAGATGGCTCTGGAAGAAAAGTGAGAGCACCTGTAGTAGGGAGTGGGTTTTTATATCTTCTTGGGCTTTTGTTTGGAGTTGTTCCTGTGGCATGAACTTTGACCTGAGTCGGAGTGTGCCTTTCTGGTATTCTGTTGATTCTATGCCTCTGTTTATACAATCAAGGATTGTATTAGCTTTTTTTTGCTGCTGCCACACACTGCTGACTCATGTTTAAGTGATCGTCCACTAGGACTCCATGATCCCTCTCACAGTTACTGTTTTTGAGCCAGGTTTTGCCTAATCTGTACTTGTACTTTTGGGTTTTCCTGCCCAGGTGTAAAATCTTGCTTTTCTCCACATTAAATATTGTTTTGTTAGAAAGGGCCCATTGTTCAAGTCTGTCAAGATCTTTTTGGATTCTGAGCTTGTCTTCTGGGATGTTGGCTATTCCTGCCAGCTTGGTGTCATCTGCAAATTTGATGAGATCTCCTTCTATTCCCTCATCTAAGTCATTTATGAAGATATTGAATACTGGGCCTAAGACAGAAACTTGTGTTACCCCACTGCTTACTTCCCTCCATGTAGATATAGTACCAGTAAGGACTACTCCTTGAGTGCGGTTTGTCAGCCAGTTACAAATCCATCTGGTGGTGATGCTGTCAATCCCACATTTTACTAGCTTACCAAGAAATAGGTTGTGGTCTACTTTGTCAAATGCCTTGCTGAAGTCTAAATATACTATGTCCACAGCATTTCGCTGGTCTACCAATTTAGTCACTTTGTCAAAGAATTTATATATATTCACCCATACAGCATAAAAATGCATTTTTATACTATTTTTAGTGATGCTTTTAGGTATACTTCTCAGGACCAATTTGGATGATCTACATATATAAAAATAAATAAAATGCACACAATGCATTCCTTATCAAGTAGCTTTTTTTGCATCACCCATGACTACAGAGTTATATAACTTTATTTTTATTATAGCCAAGGGAAAATAGTTTAATTACAGTATCTAGACACCTAGCATTGCTCTAGTTAATCTTAAATTATTTATTTTTGCTTGTATGTAAACTACTTGCTCTCTGTCTGTACCAAAAAGCAAAGTGAAGCAGCAGGTGTCTGCAAGGGTAGTCCCCTATAAAGCAACATCACACACCCAGATAAGCAATATGGAAGTTGTTCCAAATTCATGTACCACTATCTGGAATGCATTGATATTATAAACTCTTTGAAGAATTATGCTGGCATCTACAGGAGAAACTGCTTCAACTTGATCCATTTGGAAAAGCAGCAAATGATTCATCCAATAGGTAATCTAGACTTAAATGCCCAAATATTTGCATGACCCCCACATTGCCAGCTTTTAAAAGGGTGTTAAAAACATGGCACTTTTCCCATGCCTTGGGTTAGGATGATTTTGAGGGCCATCTCTGCTGATGGGGGAAGAGAGTTGGTTGATATTCCTCTTCATATGATGCTATCTTTGCAGTTTTGTTTTATTGTGTTATTTGTGTATTAAACTGTCCAGCTGAGTGACTGGAGTTCATATCCTAGAAATGTGATTACAAATAAATAAGCAAGCAAGCAAGCTAGTTAGTTAGCTAGCTAGCTAGCAGACAACCACTGAACTGTTCTAATAAATTATATAAATGTACTCTTCATACACTTCATTTGTTCAATACTTAAAATAAGGTTACCTTTAAATACAACGTTCAACAAGACAAAAAAAGCAGATTGCTGAACAATAGAATAGTTGTTTAAGAAGGGATCCCCAACCACCAGTCCATGGACCAGCACCAGGCCATGGCATGCCAGAAACCGGACCACACAAACAAGCGAAGCCTCATCCGCGGGATGCAGGCAGCACATGAAACCATACCCCCTGTGGTCCACGGAAAAACCTCTCTCCAAAGAATTGGTCCCTGGTGCCCAAAGGTTTGGGCACCACTGGTTGAGAAGTTTGGAATTATTATTCCTTTTGTCTCACTAAAGAAGAATGCAGAAAAGAACATGGAATTATTTCAGTAAATATTTCTAATGCCACCATATGTTGGCCATTTTGATCAATACTGATTGTTGCAAATATTGGTGTGATCTAATCAAATTTAAGTACTTTTACATCCTACAAATTTTAAAGAAAGAAAAGGATAGGCTTAGGTTTTTTTTCTGACATCTGCGATAGAAATGTGATTTGATCATGCTTTTCCTTTTAAATTATTAGGCACAGATGTGTGTATACTATGTTAGCCTTCAAGCAACATTTATTCCTCATGTGAAAATGAAGACTGTTATTAGTACCATGCCTACTTGTTTGTAAAACAACATCGGGACAAGTAGGATCAGCAAAGCAGCAAGCCATTCACTTTCACCCTTCTTCTAAACATGAAAAAGATCTAAAGGTTTATCTTGATTTACTTCCAGGTAAGCCAAAGGACATGATGAGAACATTTAAGAAACATATGGTAATTTTTCTTAAATATATACATAAAATTATCATACTTCTGTCAAAAATAGGCTGAAAACATGCATTGGCAATTTTCCATATCATCTAAATCTACTTTTTATTAAGCAGTTATTTTAAATCTATACACATTCCTAACTAATGAAACAGTAAGGAGTAAGGAATCCATTGTGAGCTCTGCCTTATTTTATTATATTTTATTTGCCAGAAATTATTTTCTACATTTACTTTTCACAAATACACAAAATTGATGCAAAGAATACAATGGCATGCATTTTGCCTTTGTATGACCTGGCAATACTTTCTTGTGACTCACATAATACAAATGTACTTTCATTTTCAGAATGTAAAAAAAATGCAGGAACCATGAATATATAGTTTTGTGATCAAAAATTCAGAAGGCCTTCGTCTTCAATAACTTAGAATATAAAATACTTCTTGCAAATCAGGGATTTATACCATTATCTTATTTGTGTTTCAAAACAAAGAAATTTCAGAAGCCACAATTCTTTCAAAGCCAAAAAATGGCAAAATCCAGGATTTACAGTATAACACATTCAAAAATGAATTTCTTATACTGTCTATTGTGCTAAAGACAATGCCTTCCTATAGGAAGGGCAGTTTTGAACATTTCAAATAAAAACACAAGTTAAAGCACATATTTGATATCAAACTGCTCAGTACACACATTCTATATGAGAATTCCAAGGGTGGATAAGCTAGTGGCACAGATTTTGATAAGAGATTCTAATTTATCACTTACAGCATAATATATTTTATGAAAGTCCACAACTTCCAAATAAGAAATGGAAGATTCCTGGGAATTTTATCACTGAAACTTAAAACATTTGTTGAAAATTACCATTTTGAAGTTAAAATGTGTTCATTAAGTATATACAAATCTGTGCTTTATCCAGTGTACAATCACTGCTAACTGCTGCCATGCAACACAATTTTTAGGCTTACAGTTCTTATGATTCTCCATTAAGTTGCTTTTATTATAACAGCTGCCAATTGTGAGTTTAGTATTTTTTCCATTTTAAATTTTTGATTCTGACTGGTTTTTTGATGTTGTTTTATTTTGTTCATCTTCAACAGGACTATCAGGGGATATCTGTCAAGGAAATAAAAGACAATTCAGAACATACTGTATGAGGAGATTTAGAAAACAGATTTAGTGAGAAGCTAGCGTGGAATATTATCAGAGTAAAAAATGGGAGGGTTTTCCCTAAATTCCAATGAAGCATTCAGAAGAAGGGAAGTATATACAGTGATACCTCGGTACTCATTGTTAATTGTTTCCAGGGAGGGGAGGTGCAACTAATACCAAAAATGACATGTATCAAACAAAATTTTCCCATAAGGAATAATGTATTAGTCACGAGGCAACCGATATCAACACATTCTAGCTTGCATGTCAAATACCAAACTAATGACAATTCTGGGATAAAATTTTCAAGTCAAAATGTGTTGAGTGCCAAGTTCGACAAGTTTCAAAGCAGTCGAGTACCAAAGTACCACTCTACGTTTTGTCCAAATCCTTTTGAAAATGAAGTGCACCAGCATTAATTAGTAAAAAGTTCAATTGGTATGAATATGTATTAATACAAATATGTCATATTTTCATCTATATTGAGAAATTTCCAAGTCATGTCTTACCATATATTTAAATATTAGCATATTAGACCTAATATTCATACATAAATGATGAATACACATTCATTTGATATACCAATGAACATTTGCCTTCCATAAATGTATCATACTGAATTTGAAACCATATTACTTGCAACTGTTTTCTTCATTAATTAAACAATCTAATAATTATTGGCTTTGGGGACCACTATGTACCCCAATATAAATAATTATAGAAACGGAGTAAGAAATTATTAGTGGGTTATGTTCCTTACCTATGGGACATAACCCATTAA